TACTGGGTAGACTTTCAGAACTTTTACTATAACTCTACTTATAAACCCTAAAACTTTCTAATTCCAAAAATACTTATAAAGCATGGTATGGGCCCGCATCATTGGAGGGAGGGAGGGAGGGAGGGGAGGGAGGGAGAGATAAAGGGAAGGGAGGGACTAGAGGGAGGGACTAGAGGGAGGGATAGGTTGGCAGGGAGGGAGGGAGGGAGAGACAAGAGGGAGGGACAAGGCAGGGGAGGGGGGGGAGGGATGCAGGGAAGGAAGGACTAGAGGGAGGGATAGGTTGGCAGGCAGGGAGGGAGGGAAGGAGGGGGGTGTCCATGTTCCATACGCACATGCTGCTCAACTCATCAGATACACAAAATCAGCTCAACGTCACCCACTTATCCAACGTGTAAACAATCTCGACGGGGCGGCCTGAGCACGTGGGGTTGACACTGGAGGGCTGAGATCAATCTCACGAGTTTGCCAGGAATCGGCGAAGGAGGAGAAGGGAAGTTAGTAAGGCAGTAGACCGACATGTAATTGGTGCCTTGACTGGTATTGCTCGTGTCAAGCGGCAGACAACTTTGAGGCTTGCATGCTGAAGTGATGGCGGCTCCTGCTATCAGATGCTTTGAAAGAGTCAGGGTTGGCATGAGTGAAAGTATAAAACCTGCTGAATCACATTGGTACACGTCGAATCACTGTAGAAATCTTGTATGATGAGAGAAGTACAGAGCTGTGCGTTGCTTTGAATCGCTAACTTCGTCATATTTTGATTCATTTGAGTGCATCTGCAGCAAACCAAGACAAGCGTCACAAGTCGAGGAGATCATGGACGAGTTCAAAAGCATCTCCAAGACGTACTGCTGCGACGTCGACGAAAACGTCTGATTGGAATAACAGTTGGAACACTTGAAACTTCGTCAGACTCATGTAGACAGCGACGAAGTTGCATACGGTGCTGTCACGACAGTGAGACAATGCTCTGGTGCTGCAAGTGTAGCTCAAGTAGTCCTCACTTGACGGAAGAGCATCCGTGAAAATGTCCTGCATGCAATCAGGACGAGGAATCGTGTCACGGGTATCAAACCATGTAGGGAATGCACTGCGATTGTCCAACCAGATGAATCGCGTTCAGATTGTTAACGCCACAACTGGTTGCCGTCTCTGAGAAGTAACTGTTGTGAGGTCAGTTCAAGCTCCAGAGCGAATAAAGAGTCTACAAGGTCGTGAGGTATGTCGCATCAGGCGTTAGCAAGGACGTCAACTGAGATGGATTTGAGAAGAGCTGGTTGGTACAAATCCTGTGATGCTTTTCTCAGAGAAAAGATGATCAGTAGACAGACAGGAACCTTGACTCATAATAGGTGATCTTGTTGAAGTAGGTCTTCTTCTGGCAATTGAGGGGTGTGCATGGTTGGTCGACCTTCATCAGCTGCAGCAAATTCCGTTGACAAGGTTGCCTCCTCCTCCATCACTCAACTCACGAGAGCATTCCTCGTGGCCTTGCGGTAGATGATCTCGTACGGGTTGGTCGAGCATGTGCTGTCGGTATACCTCTCGATCAGCATCCACTGAGTCGAACACTTGGCCAGACTGCATCTGCAAGTAGCTCAACAAGCGTGAGAGAGGAGCTGGGCGTACTTGGTGTATCTTCCCCCGCACGTCTCAAGCTCGCTCGTCCAATCGATCACAGCTCCGCCTTGCGTGAGAGGACGAGCCCTGCCCAGTTCCTTGTGGTCACGAAGAGAGCAGAGGAGGTCTCATCATACCCCTGGAAGAAGTTGAACTGCTCTGCGGAGTACTGTCTGGATGCGCATGTCGGCTGTGTGCATGAGGAGCACGCGTTGTCAAGTTCGATCTGAACCCATGTAGGACAGGCGGCGGTGGAAGGAGTCTTGGAAGCAGCTGCGCACATCCTGCAGCACAGGAGTCACAGAAGGCGCTGGGGGTGCGAAGCACCAACCCTAACAGCCCCAGCATGTTGTTGGTCACTCTGAGAGCACTGGTAGTTCCACACACTGCCATCCTTCAGCCAATCGAGCACAGGAACCTCCAGCAGCAGACCTGCTCGTCAGCCTCAGGCAGCTCAGCAACGCCAGCCCGCGCGCCATGGCCTTGGCCGTCCCTCCCGCCATCCCTGGGCCTCACACCGGCGACCTTTAATTCCCAGGAGGCAACCGGAGGCTTCAGGGTTTATAGGCCCTCCCTCCTCCTTCCACCTCCCGCCCCCACCCTCCTCCCTTTCCCTAAACGACTCTTGGCGCTGCCAGGGGAAGCATGCTAGAGGAGGAGCAACGAGACTCTGAGAGGGGCTCTTGAGACCAGGATGACTCAGGCGGAGAGGTCAGAGGAACGCGGATCAAGCTCCTCATCGACTCGTGTAAGTTTTGTGTTGTGCGCTCATGCACATCGAGCGAGACTGCTGGAAGCGTCGAGAAGAGAGAAAAGGAGTCGATCGACTTGAATTCTATGCTCTATTCTTGCATCGTTGCAGGAAAAAATAAGCATCTTCACGCCCTACGGGATCTAAACTCACCACCTCCCATTCAGGAGCCCCATGATCATTCA